TAGGCATCATGGAAGCCTTTAGTTGGTCTCCAGAGGGTCAGCTGTCGTGCAGTCTATACAAGCTTCCCTCAGGTTGAGCTCACCTGATCGTCAGTGCTGGGTTCGGCAGTTACTGCAAGATTGTTAGAAAGAAGCTGGCATAATAGCAACCACGACGCACATTCGCCACACTAACAGTTTGTGCCAAACATGCAGCAGGTTCTAGCAGAGTGCGTTTAGTTGTAGTTAGTCTATAGAACACTCGAATCATTTCCAGAGATTGACTGACAGTTCATGATAGAGCATACGGAGGGATGTGATCGGCAGGGAGCCTCCCTCCCTCTTAAAAATCATTAGCATGACACAAAAACAGTCCTGCCTCTTATATTCAACAGCTGGCTTACCTTTCTCCATACTCTGTTAATTCTACTCCACAGGGCTGTCAGTGTTTGTGCAGTTTCTACCCTGAACAGCAAGCAGCTGTTCGGACCGTTATTATTTTGTAATTATGTTTATATTTTCTCTCATCACAGACTTGTTAACTGTGGACTCTCAGAGACTCACTGTGAAGTCGTGGCCTCAGCTCTGAAGTCCAACCCCTCCCATCTGAGAGAACTGGACCTGAGTGACAACGACCTGCAGGATTCAGGAGTGAAGCTTCTGTCTGCTGCACTGGAGAGTCCAAACTGTAGACTGGAGACTCTGAGGTCAGTTCACTGACTGGAGCTGATTTCTGTGTGAGGATTTAAACAGTAAGTCATTTTGACAGCATGTTATTTGAGCTGGTCAAAGGTCAAAGGTCATAGTTCATTCAGAGGGTTAGGAGCTGTTGATGAGATCAGTGTGACGATGACTGAGTGACCTGGCTCTGATGAAGCTTCCTAACAGACCAGCTGGATCAGCCACTGTAGCTGAACCTGAGCAGATATAATGTAGATCTGAGGTTTCACTCTTTGCTTGGTTCAGGGTCGGAGTTAAAAGCAGCTTCAAAGTGTGTGAGGTCAGTTTAAAGTCCTTTAGATCAGGCTCAGAGAACAGTGTCTCTGCCCCAGCTGATTCATGATGACTCAGTCTGATCCCCACTGTGGAGCCCAGTGACGGCTCATTAACATGAACACTGGGCCTCCATAGCAATGATCCAACTTCAGCTCATTAACTGTGT